AAAAATACACAAAGAACATAGCAAGTTCCCAAAAATAACCAATCAATAAGTGTACAGACTGAATTTCAGAGGCAGCAACTAAATTCAGCAAAACCAACGACAGGGAGAAAAAATTCATTACAGCCAGTCAAAAGCTAGCTCAAAGCTCAAGTCTTTGAACACACTGACCCCAGAGAACAAATCAAGAACGCCCTATTGGACCAGAATTCGTGACACCCAGCTGTAGAGCAGTGCTAAAGGGAAGCCAAGAATCAAAATATTTGTATATTGAGTCATGGATCCACGTCTCGACGGAGGATCCGAGTACCCTACCCAAACACAAGGTTGAGGTCAGCCACTCGGAGAAGGAGCCGATGTCCGGCCCAAAGAAGGCGTTGACGGCGTAGGTGACGCAGTTGTGCGGGCTGAAGAACGACGGTCGTGTGATGGGGGTCGAGCAGGGCTCGCAGTCAACAGACGGCTGACGCGTGGAGAAGGTCGTGCGGGCCTCGTGGTCGACGGACGACAACTGGTGATGCCTGAGAAGCGACGACAAAAATTTTGCAAAAGAGAGCGGTGGCGACAGTGGAGGGTTTTGAGAGCGTGATGGAGGGTTTTGATGGCCAAAGTGCATAACTAACCAACTACTAGAAAAATATGTGTATTTATATAAAAAGGTTTGATTATTTTTTAAATAATAATTATTTCATTAAAAAAATTCTAGTTATTATTTTGAAAATTAATTAAACAATTTATGATAAGATTCAAATAGTCACTTATGGAAATTGTGATTCATTATTTAAGGAAATAATTAAGCTATATAAATATTTATTTTTAAGATGCCTTAATTACACAAATTAATTTAAAATTTATGATATATTTCAAATAATTACTTATGATTAATTTATTTTTTAAGATACCTTAATTACTCAAATCATGTAAATTGACTGATTTACCCAAATATGGGAATTTCAGCTGCAATATCAATTATGTGTTTTGGTAAAAAAAATTCCAACTAAATTGTACAATTTATCATTTAACAAGTGTTTTGTATTTTTCGTGTAATTATTTTGTGAAATATATTTCTAATATACATTAATTACGGAAATTGTGTAAATCCGACTGATTAATTCAATATGTACATAATTATTACAAATATGAAAATATCGAGAACAATAACTAATTATGCAATTTGCAAAAAATGTTTTAAAAAAATTGTGTTAATGACAATATTCATTTATATATTATGTAATAAATGTTATTTTTGTGTGTATTTAATTGCTCCAATCGTGAATAATTAAGAAAATAATTAGACAATAATAATTTACATTTTTAAGATACCCTAATTACTCAGATCGTGTAAGTTCGGAATTGATTTATTCAATTATAATTTCTAATAAAATTATTCTAAAATAATTGTGTTAATGACAGTTTTTATTTTATTATTTTTTAATAACTATTTTTTGGTTTTTTTTTAATTTTTATCTATAATAAACATTAGTCTTGTTTTTTTTTTTTTTACGTTGCGCAATTAATTCTGTGGTTAAACTGAATATCATTTGTATTTTATCGATAATGTATGAAATTGAATTATTTGATATGTTATATATTAATCCAATATACCCGCTTATGGTAATAAATGGTATCTCAATATTTTTTTCATAGGCATTTTACTCGATGTTAATGAAAGAAAATTATGAATAATAATATGTTCGATTCTTCTTTGTAAATGTGCATGGAAATATCAAAGTATCTGGTGTGTGTGAGTGTGTATGTGTGTGTGTAAAGTTTTTTTTTTACTTAAATCACATTGTAGTCAAATCAAATGTCTGAATAAAATTTAATAATGACATCTATTTTTGAAATGAATATAATGTAACTTATTATAAATCACTGTACAGGTCGTGTACTAATTTTAAATAGACATGTTTTATGTAATTTTGCAGAATTTAAATTTCATGTAACATTTTCAACAAATTATAGGTAAATTATTTTACATATCGATTCTATATTTTAAATTTATAATTATTATTTAATGAGCATTTGTAATTTATAAATATTAATAAATATTTCTTACCCGTGCATCGCACGGGATTCGTACTAGTTTCAATAAAATAAGAGAGTACATTAAATCGCAGAAATCCCAGCACACTTCTTATAAAATATCTAGGGTTACCTCTAGGGTAGGGAGATCTAAACTAGACACATTTTTTTTTGTGACAGAGAGTGTAAATAAGAGAACTAAAAGCTGGAAGAATAACTTTTCGACAACTGCAGAGAAAGAGGTTCTTTTAAAAGCAGTATTGGGAGCATTGCCAATCTATGTCATGTCAAAATGACTCGAAATTGGATCTTCAATATGCCAATCTATGTCATGTCATACTTGACATTGCCAAAATCTTTGTATAAATCTTGTCACAGAACTTTGCTTCTTTCTAGTGGAATATGGGCCTAACAAAAGAGGTATTTCTTGGAAAGCCTGGAGTCATCTTGCAGTGCCCAAATATCTTGGGGGTTTGATTCAAAGATATCCAGATCCTCAACAAAGCTCTCATCAGCAACTTTGGAGGCTTTATACAAAGCCTAACCTTCTTGTGAGTAATATTCTGAAGGCAAAGTACTATCCAAATGGCACCATCTTAATAGCCCAACACACACAAGCTGGTTCTTGGATGTGGAATAGTTGGATAGGAGCTAGAGAAACCTTGGTTAGAGGACTCAGATATAATGTCAGAGATGGCAAGAATATTAAAGTCTGGGAGCATCCATGGATCCCCACTCTTCCAGGATTCAAACCATCAACATTGCCTGCAAATTCAAGGATTAAGATGGTACATGATTTGTTTGATTGTACTGGTAGAAGATGGAACTCACAGATGAGGAAATAGACCTTCAGTGAGCAAGAGCAGAAAGCCATTCTGAGCATCAACACCATTTTCCTTACAGCAAAGGACAGAGTATGCTGGGATTGGAACTCTAAGGGTGAATTTACTGTGTCCTCTACTTACTCTAAGCTTATCAGACAAAAATGGGGACAACTGGATCTTCCTTAAAGCAGTTGGGAGCACTTAACTGCTAAAAAAGTAAGGAAGAGAAGTTGCGGGTTGAAGATAAAATGTAAACTGAAACATTTTCTTTGGAAATGTTACTCTAACCTTGTTCCTGTTAACTGCAATATGATTAAAAAAGGTATTGTCCTGGACTCCATCTGCAAAAGTTATGGGAAGGCCCCTGAGACTGTGGAACATATGTTTTTCATTGTGCTAGAGCCAAACTTGTTTGGGCAGTATCTCCTCTCTCTTGGGATGGCTTGCAGCTGGAAGCTAATAATTTCAAAGAATGGTGGGCCAAAATTTGTTCTTTAAAACCAGGTTCTATCTCTGATGCCAAAATCTCTCTCACAACTTATCTTTTATGGTGAATATGGAAATCGAGGAATTATTGGGTATTTCAAGCTGTCCTCAGACCTGTGCATGATGTGGTGGCTGTTGCAGTCAAGGAAATCGAAGAATGCAATGGCATGTAACTTAGTAGTACAGTTAGGTTCTTTGTATGTTCAGTGGTTGTATTATTAAGCTCATCCCTTGCATCAGTTTTTATTGCTTTGTTTAGGTAGATGCAGTTTGGTAGTTGGTTTGATTTATGAGGGGGCTTTACTTGGTTTCTTTTGGTATGTAGGTTCGGTTTTTAAAGGATATAGCTCTGTCGAACTACTGTTTGCGTCACTTGTTGTATTGTTTTAGGGCACCTGAGTGTGTTCCTCATTTGACCTCGGTCGAAGTTGACTAGTTAGCTGGCGAACTCTGTACATTTTCAAGTTATTTATTCTATCTTTTCGTTAAAAAAAGAAAAAACAAAAAAAAAAAAAACTGCCAAATTAAAGAGATAATAAAACAGTACACCGGAAAAATTTGCGGCCACTTTATCTTTCTAATTGTTCTTTTCCCCCAAATCCATCGAAAACCCTAAGGGCTCATTTATTTCTTATGATAGGATAGGATATTGCTCCTTATCCTTAAGAAATACTTCATTTACTTTCAAGTATTAAGGCCCGAAGGATAAGATTCGGCCCGAGATTGGAGGGGGCTTTATCCTTCATTTGCATGATTCAATCATCCTCCCTCATGGGCCTAGATATAATACTCCCTGAGGCCTGAATTTACCAATCTGCCCTAAAAGGGTATTTTTGTGGTCATAAATACTCTTAGCATTGTACGAAATTTCGAAAAATTACCACAATATAAGGATTTGTGATGGAGCCTTTTTTCCCAAAGAAGAAATACAAACCCTAACCGCTCAAGGAGAACCATGGTAAGTCCTCTTTCTCTGGATATCACCCCACCTCATCCCGACTTCCGACAGTGTTAATTTGTTTACATTTGTGGCCTTCGTATAGATCCGCCTTAAGGAGATGAAAGTGTATTTTTGTTAGTAACCGTCGAGTTGCCCTACACGGATCGTGACGGGCTACCAAAGAAGTTGCTGCAATTATTACTACTTACAGGTCGTGTAAATCGTCCTAAAAGGTACACAATACGAATTTAAAAACCTTTTTACACCTTAGGGATTCCCAATGTGTGGTTGTTGTCCATACATTTTTTAATGAATTTGTATATTTTTTTTTTGGAAATTAATTTAATTAAGACCTTGAACATGTAAAAGGTTATTCAATTTCAGTTGTTTTTAGTGAATTACTTTGTGAATGAAATTCAATCAATGTTGTTGTTATATAAGCGTTTCGTGTTGTAGTGTGTATTAATGTTAAGCACAAAAAATTAGTTAGTTTAACATAAGTATGTTTTCTATGAGGTTTACAGTTGGTGATTGGACTTAGGAAGTCACCTTGCAAATGGAAAGCATTGATGTATATACTATGGTGTTGTTGGAGGAAATCTTAACTATGATAAAAATCATTTATTTTTTTGGTTATATTTATCTACACTTCTTTGGGCCCTCTCGACGCAGGCGTGTTGCTGCCCTTAAAGGCCGAAGGGCAAGTTACTGAATGTCAGACCGTATAGTTGCTAGGAATTATCATATGATCTCCTTAATAGAAATAAGTGATATAACATGTGTAGAACAAGTTCAGATGGACCATAATTCTTTTGGTAGGTTATGTTATTTGCTTGAAAATATCGGCACAACTCATAATGTACAAATAAGTGAACAAGTAGCCATTTTTTTTAGTGTTCTAGCGCATCATAAAAAAAAACGTTATTGTCAAATTTGATTTCAAACGGTCCGATCACACAATAAGTAAAGTGGTTCACAAAGTCTTGAATGTCGTACTCCGCTTACACCCCCTATTATCTGTTAATCTGATTCCGGTTGATGAATCATGCAACGATTGGAGATGCAAATGGTTTAAGGTGCACCAATTTAGAACTTTTTGTCGATTAAGGTTTGTGCAATTCATTTACATTATAGTCCAACTAAATATTTTTTTTTTTTTTTTTTGCATACTTACTTTAAGGTTGCTTAGGGGCATTAGATGGAACTTATATTCCCGTGCGCGTACATATTCATCAACAACCAAAATATAGAAATCGTAAGGGATTTGTATCGAATGGTTAGGGACATGAATTTTGCTTACATATTAACTGGACGGGAAGGATCAGCGGCAGATAGTAGAGT